CAGCAGATGACCTCTGGTTGGTGCCATACGGGCGAGTTGTCGAGGGCACGAGCGTCCTCCTCCAGTGGGACGTGCCCTTGCCGGAGGCAGCCACCGCCTCGCACCCCGTGGAAGCAGATGACACTGATGAGGTGCCTCACACGCCCAAGCCTGCCCACCTCGCTTTTCGGGCGGTTCAGGCTAACATTCAGTCCATTAAAGATACGGTGCCACATTTCTTTAATCGTACTGGCTCAGGACAACGCCGGGCCTACCTCCACAAACAACTGCGGGACTTGCAAGTGCACCTTGTTACGTTGCAGGAGTGCAGATCCAGACAAGGTCGCTGGGTCTCTGGCGACTTCCTGACGTGGCGCTCTGGCGCCGACAGGCCGGGACGGTATGGGTGTGAAATCTGGTTGCGCTCCGACTGGGTCCCACACTCTGACTCCTTGGATGCATGGCCCCCATGCTGACAGACCGGGCACAGAGATCTCTGCGTTCTGGGGGGCCTTGGGGACGCATCTTAGCCACCTTCCCTCTGATGCTACCCTCCTGCTGGGTGTTGATGCCAACGCTGATTTCGCAGCCTCCGATGTCGACGATGTCCTCGTAGGTCGCAGGGTCACTTTGCAGGCCCCCCGACTTGGGGACGACAAGTTAGCTCAGCTGAGCAGACAGGCTAGGTTGGTGGCCCCGGCCACCTTCACTGATATTCATCATGGCCATGATTGGACCTGGCAACATGCCAGTGGCCTCAGCAAACGCCTCGACCACTGGCTGGTGTCCGAAGCACAGTGCAGGGTCTCGTACACAGCGCCCCTCCCGGAATTCGACATTCTGCTGGGCAGACGTGACCATATGCCCGTGCTTGCTGTGGGAGAGTTGACACTCGTCGGAAGACCGCAGCGTAGCAAAGGTGCTCGCCGATGCACGCCGCAGGAATGCGCCGGATTTGCGGCCCGTCTCTGGGACAACGTAGGGCACTGGAGGTCCCTATGGGCGCTCACCCCTGCGCAGCAAGTCCAGCAGCTGTCGCAAGCATACCAGCGGTTCCAGGACAGCCTTCCCCGTAGACCAAGGGCCAAGCCGTCGCAGCCTTACCTTAGCGACGAAGCCTGGCGCCATCTCTGCCAACTCAAGCAGGTACGGCGCGAAAAGGCTCTCGAGGTGGCAAGAGCCAGGAGAGCATGGCTGGGCCGATGTTTCCGTGCCTGGCGACAGCGCCGAGGCGGCGACCGCCGTATCGATGTGTGGCGACGGGTTGCACTGCTCTCAGGTCAGGAGAATCGCCTGAGATACCGCCTGCACAGACTAGGCCGGAGAGACAAGCTTGCACACATGCAGTCACTTCTATCTGCTGCCTGAGGTTGCCCCTACTCTCTTGCAGGTAGAACAGCTGTGTCGGAAGCAAAAGCCGATCAAGGCGCCAGGTCCAGACGGCATCCGCAATGGCCTCTGGGCGTCCCAACCAGCTATGGCGGGGCGTTGGACGTGGCAACTGCACCTCAAACTCGCCCTGACAGGCCGTGAGCCCAGTGATTTCAAGCATGCGATTGCTTGCGCCCTGTACAAAAAGGGACCTGCGGCCTTGCCTGCTAACTATCGGTCTATAGTGCTCTTGAATGGGGTAGCGAAGGTCTGGCACAGTCATCTGAGAAGCACCATAGGCCGCAAGGTTGTCAACGCATATCAGCCGCTTCAACTCGGCGGCCGACCCGGTATGCATGTTGGCTATGCGCTAGCAGCCTGTCGTGCCGCTGCCGGCCTCACAGCCCAGGCCGGTAGGTCACACATCGCACTGTTTGTGGATGTGCAGGCAGCGTTCTATGAGGTTGACCGCGATCTCCTCTTTGGGGAGCCCTCTGGTGCGGTGCGAGCAGCTGCTGTTTTGCCCTGGGTGCAGGGCCTCTTGGACCGGGGAGCCTTGCAAGCTCTAGGCCTCGACGAGGCTGAAACTGCCATGCTTCAAGACTGTGTACGAGGCTCCAGCTGGCTCCTGCAAGGAGACAGACTCCCTGTCCTTGCTGCCCGCGGTAGCCGCCCTGGTGATGGACTCGCTGATGTGCTGTTCGGTGCTGTGATGACCTGTCTCATCGCTAAAGTCAACCAAGAACTTGCACTGGCAGGAATAGCGCATCACTCCGTTGCAACCGCTTGCGCTGATGAACAGGCTGAGCCGTGTGCGATAGCGTGGGCCGATGACCTTGTCCTTCTGGCTGATGTCGATCATGCAGGCGATGTCCCTGAGGCTGTAATGCGCATGGGCCACGTTGTCCTTCAGATCTTCCGGGCCTTCCGCTTGCGAGTCAACACCGGCCCTGGAAAGACTGAGTTCCTCATCGACCCCCGCGGAGCCGGAGCCGATGGTGTGAGGGGTGACATGCTGCAAGGCACGGCCAGTGTCCTCATCCTTGATGAACATGTCCGCATCGCCTCCGAGTACAAATACTTGGGAGTGCCTCAGTTACCGCGCGACAATGGGCGGCGAGACATCGAGAATGCAGTTAGCCGAGGCCGTGCAGCGGAGCACGCTGCTGGCTCTTTACTCACTCGGTCCCGCCTGCCATGGCTAGTCCGCGAGGGGTGGGTATCAGGCCGAATTCTCCCGGCAGCGTATGCTACTCTAGCCACCTCGCTCGCGCCAGGGCCACGTAGTCTCAAGCCCTTGGAGGGGTTGTTAGACCGCATTCGCAGGAAGTTGTGGCAGTCCTGGCAGGAGGGGCATCACGCTGCAAACTGCGCCCTTGAGGTTCTCATGCCACTGCAGTCTCCGCGGGAGGCCCTCCTGGTAGCACGCTGCAGACTTCTCATCCAGCTCTGTTGCCATGCGCCCCCGCGGGTATGGGACCTGTTCGAAGCTGCCTACTATCGTGACGCGGCATGGCCACAGAGTCTTCTAGCTTCAGCTCGGGTTGTCTGGGCAGCAGCTGGCCTCCCGGGGGATGTAGCCTCTGCACTGCGACGTCAGGTCCAAGCTAATGCCGCCTCCCTGCTGCGCACGTGTCGGCGCTTAAGCCGTTTTGGCACGCTTCTGCGGGCATGTCATGACCACTGGCGGCAAGCGACCCCATGGTCTTCTCCGGCGGCCGCTCGGACGCCAGTCCCGGCACGGATGTCCTTCCAGTGTCGAGTTTGCTGGCACCAAAGCAATACCAAGCACGCCCTGGCGGTACACATGCATAGATCCCACGGCGTTGTCTCGACCAGCATGCAGTACATCGTTGACACCACCTGCAGGTGGTGTCTCAAAGACTTCCACTCGACCACCCGCCTCCGGTACCACATTGAACACACTCCGGCATGCAGATTTGGACTCCAGCACGTTGTTGGGCCCATATACCAGGCAGGCGCAGCCACAAAAAGGAAGGGTGCTCTGGGGCATCTGCGTGTTCCTCCTCTGCAGACACAAGGCCCCAGACTGCCTACCCCAGTTGAGCGGCGAGCGGCTGAACAGGGCACCTACGCCACCGCAGACGACCTGAGGCAGGAACAGGAAGCATGGGAATCGGCCGAGCGCCAGCAACAGGTTCACGGCCAGGCTGGGCAAGCTGCCACAGACTTGCAGCCACAGGCGGCCCCCGCCCATGTTTTCCCCCTGCCGATTCAGGACCCCGCCGCCCAGGGGCCCAACGAGGGCGCTCGAGTCGTCACCGGAGAACGTCCAGTTAGGTGGTCTACCTGGAGAATCTTAGTGGATGATGTTTCTGCGCCGTCCCCTCTGTGGTCTGGATTGGAAAGGGATTGCTTGTGGCAAGTTGGGCTGGACTGGTTTCCGTACTGGCACATTTGGGCGTGCTGTGCGCACGCTGCTTGGCACACTCGCGCCTTCTGGGATGCCAGCCGCAACCTGCGCATTGAGGCTATGGGACCACGGCCTGACCCCATCTCCGAGAAGATACGCAGCCACCATAAGCGCGACGAGTGTACCGCGGTCCGGCAGGCCTACCTGCGTCACACCAACTCCCTGATGCGCCTGTCAGAGAGCATCGGTGATAAGGGCGCCATATGGTGGTTTGGCGACCTTACCCAGGCCGTTCGCACCGTCATGAATGCCGTGGCCCCGGGTCTGTGGCTCTTCGCCGTCACTGTGGCGGGAAGGAATTGTGTGCTGGTGTCTAGACGGCAGGATGCCGCCCTGTCCTTTAAGGATGCTGTGGCGGCCGGCCTCCCGGCGAATACCGCTGGTCGAGTGCAGCTTGCCGCCTTACACCATTGCGCTCCGCGCTGAATAGTCTGTCTTGATCTCATGTCTCACTTTGTTTTGGGCTGCGCCACCACAGCGGTGCGCTTTTGGCCCGCACGCGTTTGTCCTCGACCCCAGTGCCGTGGAAGGAAAGGAAGGTCTAGAGGGTTTATAGGGTAGTTTAGGGTTTATAGGGTTTATAGGGTAGTTTAGGGTTTATAGGGTTTATAGGGTTTATAGGGTTTGTAGGGTTTATAGGGTTTCTGGGGTTTGTAGGGTTTATAGGGTTTATCGGGCTTATAGGGTTTGTAGGGTTTTTTGGGGTTTATGGGTTTATTGGGTTTTTTGGGTTTGTAGGGTTTAGAGATTATGGGGTTTGTAGGGTTTTTTGTTGTAAGGCTTGTAGGGTTTGTAGGCTTTACAGTGTCTAGGGTTTTTTCGGTTTACAGGGTTCATCGGGTTCATAGAGTTTATAGGGTTTGGGTTCATCAAGAATTGCTGGCCACCCTCTGGAAGCCTTCCCCCCCTCCTCCCCACTTCTCCCCGAAACCTTTGACCCAAACAGAGGTTCAGAATTGCGTTTGTCGTTTTTTTTGTGAACTCTAATTATATAACTGTTGATCGACCTGAACAGAGGCACTAAGATCGACCTAAACAGAGATTCAGAATTCCGGTTAATGGCTTTTGTTTACCCCCTAAACCCGAACCTCGCAACCCGAAACCCCACCTGCTCTGTGTAGGTAGGGTTTCGGGTTTAGGGTTTAGGATTTCGGGTTTAGGGTTTAGGGTTTAAAGTTTAGGGTTGAGGGACACACCCAATCTCAGATTTCTGGAGGTTCCGATCGTGCTGTACATCCTGCTCTGGCTGCACGATCACCTGGCTGCGCCGCGTTCTCTCATCAAGAAGCTCAAGCTGTTGTCGAGGAGCTAAACCCTGAACCCTGAACCCTAAACCCTAAACTCTAAACCCTAAACCCTAAACCCTAAACCCTAAACCCAACAGGGTTTGGGGATTAGGGTTTAGAGTCCAAATGCCCTGGGAATAATTGAACTCAAGGGAGTAAGACTCGTACCCCTAAGGTAGTACCCCGAAAGGATGCCCGTCGTATGCTCCTAATATCTGCTATTTGCTTAAGAACCCCCCCCCCCCCCCCCAACAAAAACATTCTTCCTTATAAGGGTAATATAGGAGCTATGATTTTTTTTTTGTTTGGGGGGGGGGGGGTTCTGAAGCAAATGGTAGATATGGCCCTTATTCTCAGCCCTGTCCTCGTCATAAGGTTCGGGGGCTTGGTGTTGTCACTTCCCCCTCGATCCAGAGCCGAAGCATAATCCCCACGCAAAGCCCTAAGCTTCATAAGTCCTCGACACCTAGCCTGGCTTGTGCTTTGGGATGTTTTTTTAATTGTTCCTTCTTTCCTTGTAAGGGAAACTATTTCATATATATTTTTTAAAGGGTTTAAAGCACAACTCAGAAACTGGTTGGGGGTTTCCGAATTAGGGGTGCGTGCCTTGTTAGGGTCCTCATCAAAAGCGCATCCTACTGTTCGGGGGTCTACATCACGGGTCCCGATTTTCGTCAACACCCCATTGGGTTCATGTCTTATGGTTTGGGGTTCTGAAGGACGCCGTCGTTCAGCAGCAATGCCGCCCGACCGGAATTCGGATTTCGTTAGTGTGAGGCCGTTGTTTTTCGACTTTCGGGAGCACGATTCAGGCCTTACACGGCATCCAACACTCCTGTTGTTTGTGGTTTAGGAGTTAGGATTCAATGCTTGAATCGGCGCTATCAAACCACAAGCGACTAGGGAGAAACTAGGACTCCTGGCAGCACGACTGCTTCCCCCCTAAACCCTAAACCCTAAACCCTAAACCCTAAACCCTAAACCCTAAACCCTAAACCCTAAACCCCTGTTTTTGGGGGTAGTCCGGTTCCTTGATGCAGCCCAGTCAGCACACAAACTTGCCCCGTCTCATGTCTCATATTTCGCTGTGAAGCTAAGACATCCTGAAGCTCCGGAGTTTAGGGTTTAGGGTTTAGGGTTTAGGGTTTAGGGTTTAGGGTTTAGGGTTTAGGGTTTAGGGTGGCGGACCGATGCCCTAAGCTCTAAACTCCTTCTACCCCTTACTCAGCGCATCCCAGAAGTCTGCAAGCCCTAAAGCCTGCGGTTTCAGGCTGCTGGTTTAGGGTTTAGGGCTAGGGTTTGGGGTTTAGGGTTTGGGGTTTGGAGTTTAGGGTTTAGGGTTTGGGGTTTGGGGTTTAGGGCTCAGGGCTCAGGGCTTAGGGTTTAGGGTTTAGGGTTTACCCTACAGAATGCCCAAATCGAGAGCCCGAAACCCGCACGAAGTCCTAGGCCATGAGCCCAAAGTATCAAGCCTCGCCAGAAGGCGACACAGGATTGCCAGGAGTTGCGGCTTTCGGGGTCACCGTTCAGAAGCTTTTAGGGGTTCAGGGTTTAGGGTTGAGGGTTTAGGGTTCAGGGTTCAGGGTTTAGGGTTTAGATGAGAGCTTCCGTGCTCTTCTGGGTTGGTGTTGTGAGTGTTTTGGGCTTATATGGTCGCATGTAGAGGAGATAGCTCGACCCTCAACCCCCATCCTAAACTCGACACCCTCCCCCCCACTGCCCTAATCCGTGTAGGGTTGAGGGTTTAGGGTTTAGGGTTTAGGGTTTAGGGTTTAGGGTTTAGCCAAAAACCCAATAACCCTAAACCCTAAATCCCAAATCCTCAGCCCCAAACCCTACAAACTACAAACCCTGGTGGACCAAGACCCTCTAAGGAGGAGAGCTCCGAGGATGACGACAGCCCTCGAAGCTTCGAGTGAGGACTACGGGTTAGACTGGCTTTTGGAGTACTATACTTTAATACTTTTTTTTGATTCTGGGTTCCTACTAAAGATACATATACCTAAAAAGTGTATACTTAGGGTAGAGGTTTGAGGGTTCAAGTGTAGGGTTTGGGGTACCTTAGGGCTTATAGGGCTTAGGCTCGGTTCTTCTTGCATGGCGTTTCTAGGGTGCAAACCCCGGAAGTACGCACATCTTAGCTTGGGGCTTGGCCGGAGTGAAGAGGGCTCGAGTCAACCAAGCCATCATTCGGAGAGCCAGCTCAGAGTGCCCCTCAAAGCCCGAAACCCCGAGGTCCAAACCCGAAACCCCGAGTTCCGTGCACGAAGTTCCTCTCGGCCCTTGTGGCAAAAGGCACAGACACCCCCAACGTGCATGAAATCTAGCGGCTTCTGAGGGGTGCGACTTGGTCTGGTCTCGGGCTTCGATGGCTTAGAGGGCTTACAGGCTCTAATCGGGTTCAGGCTTTTGGGCACGCCGCCACCCGAGTTACTTTATTCCATGCCCCCACCTCCCCCAGCTTTAATAGTGGCTTGAGGTGGATTCTCCTCTATATGCGGTACAAGATGGGGCCAGGGGAGAGCGAAATGAATTCTGAAATGACGATGGCCCCAGATTCTAGCACAGGGTCTATGGGCATTTACCAAAACAGGGACACTCCACCCTTTGCTATGTCCCCAACAATTACAACCCTATAACCCTTGCTTGTAGGGACCCCGCAAAGGCGCCCCACAATGTTTGGAAACTCCATATCATCCCAATTCTAAGGCCTATACTCGCTTCGGGCTTAGGGTTTAGGATTTCAGGACTCAGCCAGAGCATAAGGGGTGCTGAAATTTCGAGACGCAGTTAGGGCCTAGGGCTTAGGGCTTAGGGTTTAGGGTTTAGGGTTTAGGGTTTAGGGTTTAGGGTTTAGGACATCGGGGTGAGCACAAGTGATTAAGTTCTGCCAGGGCATCGGTGAGGTAAGGCATCCAAGCCTCCAATGATACCGAGTGCCCGGCCAGTGCGTCTTGGCGAGCTCAAGGCGTCCAGCTTCACCGGTGAAGTCGCATCAAGACTCCGTCTGCCTACAGAGCGTGATAAACCTGGACCCTGAAAGGGTTTTGTGGGGTTCATACCCCTTCATAGGAATTCTACTAGTATAGGGTATATGACCTCACCAACCCTAAACCCGAAAGCCTAAACCCGATTCTAGGGTTCATTGGTCCTCAAGGAGCCCTAAACCCCAAAAGGTTTAAATGTGATACTAGGTAGACCTCATGAGCCCCGCCATGCAGTGCTTGGATTCCTTGTCTTGTAGTTGGGGTTTAGGGTTTAGGGTTGAGGGTTTAGGGTCTAGGGTCTCGGGTCTAGGGTCTACGGTCTAGGGTTTATAGGATTCAGGGTTTCGGGTTTATAGGGTTTAGGGTTCAGGGGGTTAGGGTTTAGGGTTTCGGGTTTCGGGTTTAGGGTTTACTGCTTCTGTGAATGAGCTCCTTCACCGGCCGCGTGTCGAGCGCCCTTCCGTGGCTCTCCAACTGTCCTCAAGTTGGATCGCGGAAAACGCACCGAGCTCGTGGAGCGTGGGTTAAGGACGAGAATTGGGTTTTAGAGTACTATACTTTAAGGGGTTCCTATTAGAGCCTAGAAAGTATATATTTTTCCAGGGTCTACTCCAAAGTAGGGACAAGGGGGTTTACAAAAATAGGGCACCCCTAAGATAGCCCCCAAATAGAAGGATGTCCCTTGGAATAAGAACCCCAACAAGGTACCCGCTGATTTCGCTTTTATAGGGTTCTTAAGGGAAGGGGGTTGTTTGAAGGAGGGTAGGTAACCCAAGGCTCTGAAATACACTACTCCCTAACTTCCTACTTAAGGTTCCCTAGGTACCTACCCCCCATGACCCCCCTCCCTTAACCCTATAAGTTTAAGGACGAGAAGTGCTGTGATCCCCCTCAGTGCCCCTCTTGGGCAACCCTCTTGGGGTATGAGGATAATCAACTTTTGGGAGTTTCCTGTATCTGTCCTCAAGCGTCCATCATTCGCAAGAATTCCTAAGGGTCCATGTACCTCACTACTATATACTTGGGCCCCAACGTCCCTACATGGGAGGCACTTTAAGGCCCAAGGATTCCCTCAACCCTAAACCCTAAACCCTAAACCCCAAACCCTAAACCCTAAACCCTAAACCCTTTTAGGTACATGGACCCTTAGGGCGTGGCATCACCGGCTCGTTGGCTCCTGCGGCGTCGTAGCTTCGATGTTGAGAAGTTCCGAGGGCCAAATGAGCCGGTTTAGGGTTCAGGGTTTAGGGTTTAGGGTTTAGGGTTTAGGGTTGAGGGTTGAGGGTTTAGGGTTTAGGGTTTAGGGTTTATTTGACAAGGGTTTCGGGTTTAAAATGGGGTCATGTACCCCAAAGTACTCTAATTCCTAGTAAGGTAGTATGAACCATACACCCTTTTAGTTGTTATCAAGGCAACATTAACCATAAACCCTTTTCGTTCCTTTTAATGTCGTATGAACCACAAACCCATATTTTCGTTCCTACTAAGGTATTGTGAACCATAGACCCTTTTAGGGTTTGTTTGGTCCTCAAAGTAGAGACTTGCGTCCACCCACAGTTCTCAGAATGTCATAGTCGGGTCCAGAGTCTTGGCAGAGTTTGTTGGTTTAGGGTTCAGGGTTTCGGGTTTAGGGTCTAGGGTTTAGGGTTGTTTCACAATGGGGCCTGGCTCCTGAATCCCAAAAGAAGCCAATTCAGCAGTTTTGGCTCAAGACTTCTGCTGCTGGAAGTTCGAAAGAGCAACATCAGAAGACGATGGTGTCTAGTGAGGCACCGGGATGGCTTGCTTTCTTAGGGGGCTCGCTCAATCCCGGCTTCGTAACCCCGGCACCCTCCCCCCAAACCCGAAACCTGTCCCAACCTTGGGGGCCAAACTAGGACCGGAGTGGACCCTGGTTGTTATTCTTCATTGTGTTAGGCCCTGTTAGGCTCGCCTGTAATTCCCGTGAAGCAAACAAGGGCATTCGGTGTGTTGTTTATGGCCTAGCATGGCAGGCTTTGTTCGGTTGATTTACAGTCTGTGTGGTCGATAATTCAAGGTCTGGAATTGGATGGGGAGGGGGCGGGGGGGGGGGGGGGGGGGGGTCCTCATTTGTTCTATTACAGGGCGCATGTGGGCTTCAACGAGCCCTTGAAACCCATATTGACCACTGTTAGTCTTCATTGCGTTAGGCCCTGTTGGGTGCTTAGTAGCCTAGTAAGGCAGGCTTTGTGGGTTGATTCTGCTTACTTACAGTCTCTGCGGTCGATAAATGAAGGGCTCATGTAGGCCTCAAGGATCCCTTCTAAACCCTAAACCTCAAACCTCAAACCTTAAACCCTGAGCCCTCAACCCTAAACCTTAAACCCCAAACCCCAAACCCCAAACCCCAAACCCTAAACCCTAAACCCTAAACCCTACTTGGGCATGCTGTTGCAGGCTTGGCGGTGGCACAAGCATGCCTGGATTGCCACGATGTTTGCCGTTACGACGGGCTATGCGGACGTCGTGAGCATAATGAGATCCTTGGAAATTTAGGGTTTAGGGTTTAGGGTTTAGGGTTTAGGGTTTAGGGTTGGTAGCCCAGTGGTGCCCTTTTGCCTTTCTTGTGTTTTTGGATCTGGGCTTCCTTGTAAAGTAATTAACCAACACAAAAAAAAGGGTAATTACCCTGACTAGAGCATGGTTGCTGGGCTACCAAGGATATGGGGCATTTGCAAGCATGCTGATCCTTGCGGACTGCATTAGCAGGCTTTTGCCCCAAGTACGTTATGCTTTTGAAGGGATCTGTAAAAAGCAACTGGGTCTATATGGTCCCAATTTGGCATGTTCCCCTTATACTAACAATCCTTAATAGGCGGGATTATAGGGGGGGGGGGGCTTACTATAGTCCCTATTGAGGACTCTTAGTATAAGGGTGACCATCCCAACTCCCAATATTTGAAGTTATTTGAAGTTCAAGGACCGGAAACACCGTCATGTTCGGACGGTCCGTGGCAAGCCCCGGCGCAGCTGGTGATCACGGGCCTTGGTACTATGTCTTCATCTGCCTGGCATTTGCGGCAGGGGCTGTCTTGCAACGTGTTTCCGAGCACTACTTTCCCAATAGAGGAGGCAGCATCATTGCAGTTCCTTTGGCTATACTTGTGCTTATCGTCGAAGCCGTCCAGCTTTGCACAACCCCAGACTTAACGGAGCTGGACCTCCGTCAAGATTGGACAGTGGCAGGTGTCGCACAGCTCCTGGGACTATGCGTGGGCCCCAATTACGTTTTGCCTTGTTGCCTTATAAAATACGGTGCCCCAAAAAGCCCTCAAATATGAGTATATGAGTCTCGGAGCCTTTGGGTGATAAACCTAAACCTTCTCACCCTAAACCCTAAACCCTAAACCCTAAACCCTATTTACCCTATGTCCATCATGGACCAAGGCTCTTTGGTGTTGTGGCCTCGGCCTGTTGCACCGGGCGCCTGGGAACCCACACCACCATGGTAACCTGGGTTTTGGAGTACTGCACTTTAGTACTTTTTTGGGGCAACCTGGGTTACTATTATAGCTACTTATACCTGAACGAGTATATGTGTTAATGCTTTTTGGGGCAACCTGGGTTCCTAATTATAGGTACTTAGTACCTAAAAAGTAGATGCTTCTTTTCAGGGTCTACTCCCAAGCAAGGTAACGGGCCACGTCCTGAATTTGACAAACTTCTTTTCGAAGTGCCTAGTCGGTGAAGGTGAGGCACCAGAGTTCTGGAAAGCGGTCATGAGTGTGATGATCATCGCACACAGGCTTGATATGGCAACTGTTTTTTTTCGTCGGTTGTATTCGTACTGCTTTTCCGAGCTCGACGCGCAGCGCCGAACAAACTAAATCCAAAACTAGCGATGTTCCTTCTTGTACTAACAGTCCTTGCTAGGGATTATAGTACCCCCCCCCCCCCCAAATTAATCCTATTCAGGACTGTTAGTATAAGGGGGAACATCCCAGCCCTAAACCCTGTTGTTGCGTTGTCTAGCCATAGCCGAAGACTAGACATTTGGACGCCGTGAAAACACCCTGCAGCCCAAGGGCCTGAGTCCCACCTCTCTTGCTCCTAGGTTAGGGTTCAGGGTTTAGGAGTTTAGGGTTTAAGGTTTAGGAGCTTGGGGTTTCGGGTTTAGGGCTTAAGAACCACCCCCAAAAACCCGTATAAGTGTCATACAGGGATTAGTACCTTGTTTTTCCCCTTTGTTTGTTTGGCGCGGGGGGGAGGGGTTCAGGGGAGAGTTCCCGAATAAACCACTCCTCTTGCCCAGCAAGGCTGGTACAGTCGCTGGCGCACTTTTCGGCAGTTTCCTGGCTCCCTGCCTCAATGTTGTGCGATGCACTTTAGGACCCCCCCCTGACGGTGCCCTTATTTTCGTTCCTTGGCGTTTAGGTTCCCTTACCTAAACCCCGAACCCAGAACTCTCAACCTTAAACCCTCAACCCGACACCCCTTATGCAGCCTTTTTGTACCTGTAGGCGACATACGATGGAGCCGGCCGACCGCCGACGTAAAGTTTGGGCAGAACCCCCTCACTCCATAACAGTCCCCCTACATCCCTAAGCGTAACTCTGTTATACCTTAGTAAGACCCTGTATATGACTGTTACAGGGTGGGGGCTGTATCCCTAAACCCTAAACCCTAAACCCTAAACCCTAAACCCTAAACCCTAAACCCTAAACCCTAAACCCTAAAGGGCCCCCAGGGATGCTTCATCGGATCCCTTGGCTTGCCGGGGCCAAGCGACTAAGCCCCAAACCATCGTTTATCCCCCTAGGTGTAGGGTTTAGGGTTTAGGGTTTAGGGTTTAGGGTTTAGGGTTTAGGGTTTAGGGTTCAAGGCTCCAAGGAAGGGTTTAGGGGTTCGCATGTGGGCTTGTAGGGTATATACCTCTGGGACCCTATGTACCTACAGATCAGTCCTAAGTACCCCTCCTCCGATTTAGTAGGTGTAGCCCTCCAAACTGTAGGGAAGTAGGGGGCTTCATCCCGAGAGTCTACAAGAACTCTTATTTAAGGGTTTTTTGTTGGGGCCCAAAAGGCCTTGTTATATAAGGCTTCTGGGCTCTTGGGTTTTTTTGGGGCTCAAAAGGCCTTATTATATAAGGCTTCTGGGCTCTTGGGTTTTTTTGGGGCTCAAAAGGCCTTATTATATAAGGCTTTTGGGCTCTTTTGAGCCTGAGAGTACCTTCTTTTCTCCGATCCCGAACTCCCAAGTATTTTTGAGTGGTTGCCGTATGATCACCCTCACAAACCGCAAGGGTGCAGAAAGAGATTTGAGCACGGTTCAGAAGCTAAGATGCGTCTAGGACCCCATAACTCACAACCCCAAATTTTAGGGTTCACGGTTTTCATGGCGAACTGCCTCCCAAGTCTCAGCAAGCCTTTAACCCTAACCTTGAGGCCCTCAAGATGGAGCCTTCGACCCGAAACCCACTTCACCATTTCTCCCGATTACGAAGCTCATCCCAACACATGCACCCTTTGAGGAAGGCTTACAACAACTTGCATTTCGGATCCTTTAGGCAGTAAACCCCTAAACCCTATCTGCCCTATCTGAACCTTTGCACAAAGGGGCAGGGGGCCAAGCGCCCAGGTTGGTGTCGTTAACCTTCACGTCCTCCTGCTTCCTGCAGGGCACTCAGACAGCCCGCCGAAACCCGAAGAGCTCAGGATGTAGGATTTAGGGCCGGCTGGTTTAGGGTTTAGGGTTTAGGTTTAGGGTTTAGGGCTTCAAGAGGTTGAGATCTTATTGTTGGCCGGTTCTGGTACCCTACCACCCGAAACCCTCCACCCTATGAACGCGGAAGGCTAAACCTTAAAACTCCTTCAAGTTCTGACCCTAAACCCTAAACCCTAAACCCTGTTGGTTTCTTTGGGGAGAGGGGGGGGGGTGTTTTGCCTCTAGGGGTTAGGGATGATGGGCTTCACCACCGCAATCTTTCTTAGGGTTTAAGGTTTGGGGATTGTAAAGGTTAATTACGGGTTTGATCAGGATTATAGGTTTTGGGTTTACGGTTTTAGGACAGGCTCTGTTTGGGCTTTAGTATCGGTTGCTGTGCTTCAGGGTATGGCATGCGAAAATGCGCCAGCTCATGCGTGTGCCTGCGCAGCCCAGCGGGCCCCCCCCCCCCCCCCCTGGCCAACCTTAAGGAGTCCCCCCGAAACATGCGTGTAGGATGACAAGCATGCGCTTGTGGTACTTCGAGTACTTCCTCACGCTATTCGAACACGTTGGCTGGTAGAAGCCCAGGGATACGTACGTCTTGGGGTTCAGGCGTTTTGGGGTTTTGGAACTTTTTAGTGTCTGTTTTAGGGTTTGGGGCCTCAGTTCCTCACATGCGGGGGGCGGAGGGCGGGGGGGAGGGGGGGGGGGGGGGGGGG